GAGAACCCAGCTTTCCCCCTATAAGTTTCTGGCCTTGGAATAATTTTTTTTAAATTGGTCTGGGAGACGTGTAGTAATGGCTGGCAGTTTTAGGACAGTGAAGTCTACTAAACGTAGGGTATCAGGCTCCTTTAATCAATTCATGTTAAGAGGGAAAAAAAAAAAAAAGAAAGCAGGAAATGAAATTACTAGCAAAAAAAATGAAGCAAGACTTCCAAATGACCGACCAAGCCTTAACTTTTTTTTTTTTTGTTATGTTTCAATTAATAATAAAAATAATTAAATTTAAAAATAAATAGATAAATGAAATTGGGCCTTAAAATCATATGTTGAATTTTTAAATTTTAGGATCTAAAATTTGGTCTTGGACTTTAGGCTTTGAAACCTATATTATGATTTAATCTCAAATCAATTCGAGTTGATTACTAAGTAATTAATTATTTACTATTATGTTATCATTTATTTGTGTATATCCAAAAATAATAATAATCATAATATATGCGATATGATACAATTTGTAAGTAAGAAAAAGAAATAAAAAAAAGTTCAAATATAATAACAATACCTTAAGTCTCGAATAAGGGAATCATATTAGGTTGTAATTTAAATTTTTTTGCGTCATTCATTTTATCAACAATAATATTTTTATCTAATTTTTTAACTATCATATCATTTTTTATTATTTACATCCATATATTTTGTGGTCTACCTCAAGAAGTTTTGATCTCTCTTAGCTCTAAAAACTCAATTATTTTAATTAGTGTACAGTTAGGTCTATATTTCACATATTTAAACCATCTCAAATGATTCTCTCTCATTTTCTCTTTAATTCAGACAACCCATAATTTTTCTTGAATCTTTTCACTTTTTATTTTGTCTCTTCTAGTCTTATCACCTATCCATCTAAGCATCCTCATCTCTGCTACGTTTGTTTTCTTCTCAATGAATAACTTAAAAGTATAAGTAAATACTCTTAATTTATTATCAATAGTTTAGCAAGTAATAATAAGTTTAAATCATAACATTGTATACTAACACAAGTATTAAAACTAAATAAAATAAATATATACAATATATATTAAGTTAACATTTCTAAAATATTCTTTAAATTTTTTAGTTCATGATAAAATAGTACAAATTAAGATAAGTTTTATTAATGATTTGATTAAATTATTAATGTATGTGTTTTCATATCTATTAACGAAATACAATTGCATATAAAAAAATTAAAAATTTTGAAGTGTTCTATTAACAATAGAAGTAATAAACTTGACTTATGTTTCTATTTCAAAGTATATAATTTTGAATAAAAACTTTATTATATATATGATAAAAGTAATGAGAACAAATTTACTAAATAAAATTCATAAAAATTAAACATACAATAATTTTAAAAATATCAAATTAACAATAATTACCTTCGTATTCTTCAAAAAAATTTCTTTTACTAAACAAAAGCATAGTATATTTTTAATTTTTTTTACTCTTATAACCATAATTCAATATGATTTTTTTGATATTTTGATGTCAATCAACTTCTCTATTTGAAAGAGTAAAAATATTATAAGGTGTCATAATAATTTAAACAATGTTTAACTCTATGTCTGTCTTCTTAAATGAGTATGAATTACAATATCTTTTTAAATGAAATATTTGAATTATTTTTCTCAATCCATATAACAGCAACTTGATTAACAAATGAGTAAATATAAACTTATTGATCTAGATTAATATTTTTGCAATATGAATTTTAAAATTCTCAAAAGAAAACATATTATTCAATCTCTGTAAGACTTGGATATAAGAATTCTTTTGGAATTATTATTAGTATCTCTATCATTTTTGCACTTAATTTTTTATTGTATTATGTTCTTATTTTATTTTACAATCTATTACCAGTACAAAAAGTATAACTAAAACAATATTTGATCAATTCCAATTTATAATAATTCAAAACTCAAATTGAGTATAAATAAATTTTTTACACATTTTAAATTTTAATTTAATTAAAAATAATATAATATACATAATTATAAAAACTAACTAACTTAACTCAATTTCAATTGATTTTAAAAAGTAACAACTTAGTAGTTATTTAAAACTCGAAATGATTGAACATAACCAAAATCTGAATTAAAATAGTAACCCAATCAAAATCCAGTATTTCTTGTTTATCTTTTGTAACAATTTAAAATTTCTTATTTAAACTTTTTTTTCCTTCGTCTTCAATGTCTTATTTTTATTATCTTTGTGGTTAAATTAATTAAATAATTTTAAGAGTATTTCTAAAACAAAATTACAATTATAAGTAATTGAATATACTTTTTTTTTATTTGGATTTAAGACATTTTGAATCTAGCCTTTTAAATAAAAAGAAGTATACACCAATTATTAAGTAAAATTTGTACAATTGCATAAGTAAATGAGTACACTATTAATAGAAGTAGATGATAAAACTTGATTTGACCTAATTGGTTGTTGATCCTAAGTTTAAAATCCAACTTGAAATTATAAAAATCAAAATTCAAAATGATTGAAATACTAGATATACAATTAAATAAAAAATTATCAAATGAATTTTACTAATAAATGCACCTGAATCATTTTTGAGTTTAGTTAAGTTATAATTTATAATAATATTTTTATGTTAAATGTAATAGAGATAATTAATTTGATGAATTTCAATTCTTTTGAAAAAATATTATTTAATATGGCAACCTTAAAAATTTTGATATAACAGTGAATATTTTCAACTAACATAAAAGAGAAAATAAATGACTATATAATGTTTTTCCAAATAAAAGAGTTTATATTAATTATAAAGAAATTTAAAATCAATATATTTGTGTTTTTTTTTATTAAAACATCATATAATACTATCCTTCTTTGTCATATAGAGAAAATAGAGTTATACATAACCATTTAATCTTTCATCTCATTTTTCTACTTAAGATAATTTGGATTGGTGTTTCCATCAATTGAATGTAATTGTATATTATATCAATTGAAACTTAATTTTTCTTTTACTTAAAAAATTTTATTAAACATTAATTTTTAATATACAAAAATAGTTAAATACATAATTTTAAAATTAAAATAAAACAAGATAGATTCTTAACCTTGATACTTGTCATGTTTTCTTAAGAAAATTTCAATTCTAAGAATGACTAACTTGTTATGTAATACCTATAAAATTTATAATGATTTCATTTTTAGTATTTCAAATATAAATTTTCATGAACGAATATAACTTTGGTATAAACAAATTTAAAAGATAGTTCCAATTAGTTCTAATGAATTTTGTCACACTTCGATAGAATTCACCAAAAATAATTAATTTTACTTCATTTATATTTTTTTACTTAGAATAATTCATATTAGATTGTTTAACCACCTAAATGATACAAAAGCATGTAATTTAACACAATTGAGAAATATTAAATAATATTGGGATATAAATTAATCATATATATATGCATAGTAAGATAAAAATTGAGAGAAAATTAAATTAATTATTATTTCAATTAAGGTTAATAATTCTTATGATAATTTGACAGGATCCAATTCTAAGCTACTTATAGCTCAACCATCTCTTGAATCATCAAATTTTACAGGTAGAAAGTTCAATTAAAGTATTCAACAAATCAAATAGTGCTAATTTTTTATAAAGGGGTGCAATTGATTTTATATTAGTTTTTATTCTTTGGAATAGCAATTATAAATTTCTACAAAAAAAATACAAAAAAGAAATTAATTATAGAGGTCAAACTAATTATAATAATGATATATTAAAAAATTATTTCAAGGGAGTAAAATGATTTAATTATGTTATCAACGATCAAATAATTAACTCATAAAACATATAAATAATAAAATCATTAACATACATATATAGTTAATATATTAAAACAAAAAATTCGATAGGAAAAAGTAGAAAAAATAAATATACTTAAATGACTTAATTATAATTATCTTTAATGAATTTATTGATCAACATAAATTACATATAGAATTGCTTTTTCAACAATCAAATAAATAAATTTCATATAATTATTTTATTCCTATTCACGTTAAGTTTTGATGTTATCTTATTTGTATTTTTATTTGATGTGAAAATTTTTTCTACTAATAAAAAAGAAGTCTAATAATAAAAAAATCATTTAAATTAAATTTTATAAAAAAAATTACTAATGGTATTTTAATCAATCACTTTTAAAATTTTTAGAAATAAAATTTTATTAAATATAATTTGATCAGTCACTTTTAGCTCTTTTTTAGTCTAGTAAAAAAATAATTTAAAATTTATAAAAAGATTTATTAAGTATATTTTAATCAATCACTTTTAGAATTTTTGGAATTAAATTTAAAATTTTAGGTATTTAATTTCACATAAACTCTTTTTTTTAGTTGATTTAAATTAAACTTAAATAAATTAATAAAAATTATATATTTAAGGATAAATTTATTAACTTAAAAATTTGTAAAGGTATTTAAGTCGATTACTATTAATACTTTTAGAGTTTATACTTTTATATATAGATGATGTATAGATAGATAGATAGATAAATAGATATATGTTTCCTTTTCTTTAAACTTTGAAATATATAATTTTAAAATATGTAATGAATTTTAATGGTTTTTTTAACATAATATATATGTGTTTAACTTCAAATATCATGATTTTGAAAAACTAAATCTTTCTAACATAAAACATGAGAAACCAAACCAATTGTTGATTAAAAATCCTAATAGAGTTATGATCAGTCCTACTTCCAAAAGCTATATATATTCAACAATTTGTAACCAAATCATATGTGGTTATTGCATGGTTAATAACCAAACCAATGTAGAAGTAGGAGAAGGGGAAAACCGACCCAAAGTATATATATAAGTATACAAAAAAAAAAAAAACCAGTTCTTTAAACCCTTCCTTCGTTTCTTCCATTGTTTTCTTTGCATATTCTTGAGTTTATTTTGATCATTTACTTTCATCAACAACAATGGATTTTCCTGTAGTCAAGGGAGTAGATATTAGGAATGGTTTAGCTATGGAGTGGATCAAACTTAAGGTTCTTGGCAAGGGTTCCTATGGAGTGGTGAACTTGGTGAAACCAATAAACTACGTTTTTGCTGATCGAGTTTTCGCTGTTAAGTCGTGTCGTTACGAGGATTCCAGTTCTGTTCAGAAGGAATTAGAAATCCTGGAACAGTTTGCTGATTGTCGTAATATTGTTCAATGCTATGGTGATCTGTTGAGTATTGATCAGGGGATGCTGGTTTACAATTTGTTTCTTGAATATGCACCTGGTGGTAGTTTTTTGGATTTGATGGTCAAGAAATATGGGGGCAAGATACCAGAAAGTGATGTGAAGTGCTACTCCAAAATGCTGCTTGAAGGGATTCGGGATATTCACGCCAGAGGCTATGTCCATTGTGATCTCAAGCCGGCAAATATCCTTGTTTTTCCTCCTGATCGGTATGGTTCCATTAGCAACCTAAAGATCGCTGATTTTGGCCTGCTTAGACGAGCTGGAGAAAGAAATATGCCAGAGGTAGAGGCTTGGATGCTAAATTTTCCAGGTACTGGAGTTTACATGCCACCAGAATCTGTTACTGATGGGAAAATCAGTGCTGCCTTAGATATATGGTCCCTAGGGTGCGTTGTTCTTGAGATGATCACCGGAAAATTACCATGGGAATATCATAACTTGGCGGATTTGGCGATCAAGATTGGATTTTCGAGATATCCTCCAAAAATACCAGAAAACATGTCAAGCACTGGGAAAGATTTCTTGATGAAGTGTTTTGCCAGGAATCCAAGTGAAAGATGGACTGCGGATATGCTATTAAGCCATCCTTTTCTCCTTTCAGAGTGCCCTCCGTTGTCACCTCATTGTCTTCCATGCATGGAAGAACTGGAGGCAATGTGCCTAGCTCTTTTGGATGATTGAAAATTGTTTTATTTTTTCGTTTTTGTCTCTGTACTTGGATGCAATGTCAGATGTATAACATAAATATTTTCCAATTAATCTCTGGTTTGATGTCATCCTGAAATCATAAAATTCATGATCTGTTGCGAACAATTTGTTTTTATTTTGTTTTGCATATCTGTTTATTGTAAGTAGGGATTTGGTTTCGTTACTTCTATCCTTGCTGTTGGTCCTGTATACGAGTGTACGCTTTTCCATACTCTCAAGCAAGTAGGCGGCTACTCGCCTGTTATTAGATGCAATTCTGAAGTATAAAACTCCCATTGTAGTTTCCTAAAGGCTCCTAAAAATCTTCTAAAATTTTCCTTAACATTATTGATGATTTATATCAGTCCTTTGCGAGCGCTGAATTGAAGATAAAATCTATTGGATGTACAAAGTGTCAATCTATTGGTCACTTCAGCTGCCCTGATTGCTCTAATACACCTAAAGTTTGATTCTCAATCATGCCATTGAAGACATATCTTCTCTTATGCTCATGCTTATGATCATGAGCTTTCTTCCTATAGCCATTGTACTTAAAATTTTTTCTCTTAATACACTGGATTTTGTAAATCCTCTTGTAGATGGAGATTTGTGACAGTGGCTCCTATTTATACTGATTTCATTCCTCAATGTCAATGTTATAATGGATGTGTTATGAATCTCGCCTCTTCCCTCCATTGTACTTAAAACCTTTTTGTCTGAATGCACTGGATTTGATTATCGCACTTGTAGATGTAGATTTGTGAGGGTGGCTTCTATTTATAGGTGTTTCATTATCCATCCCAAAGTTATAATGGATGTCCTATGAATCCTGGTTGTTTATGTTTGTGTCAAGCAAGGAAAGCATGTATATTGTATTCAAGTCCACTAAAGTAAGCTTGGTAAATATTCCTTTTCGCCTTAGAAATATGGTCCCTAGGGTTCATTGACAGCTTTGTTCTTGAGATGATCTCCGGAAAATCACCATGGGAATATCAGAAGCTGATGGATTTTGCGATCAAGATTGGATTTTGAAGATATCCACCAAATATACCAGAAACCATGTCAAGCACTGGGAAAGATTTCTTGATGAAATGTTTTGCAAGGGATCCTAGTGGAAGATGTACTTTTGATATGCTGTTAAGCCATCCTTTTGTCCTTCCAGAGTGCCCTTCGTTGCCACCTCCAACAGAATCTCGTAATGGTCTTCCTTGCATGGAAGAACTGTAGACAATGTGCCTACCTTTTTTGGATAATTGAAAATTGTGTCTTCGACTCTATACTTGGATAAAATGCGGTTAATAAAAATATTTTCCAATCTTTGGTCTGACATCATCCTGAAATCATTAAATTCATGATCTGTTGCTGACAATTTCTTTCTATTTTGTTTTCCATGTGTTTATTGCAAGTGGATTTTGGTTTCATCACTTGTACCCTTGGTGTTGATCCTGTATATCAGTGTATGCTTTTCCCTGTTATCAACCAAGCGGTTGCCTATTATTAGATGCAATTCTGAAATATAAAACTCCCATTATGTTATGCACATGTATATTTGCCATTGAATGCTAAACCACATTAACTTTCAACTGGCAGATAAAGGAATGGAAATAGAGTATTAAGCAGCTGCTCTACAGGAAAAGTGAACTTTAACGAAGAGTCCGAGATGGGTGAGCAAGTGATGGACTGCTATTGGTTGGTTTTACGAAGTCACACTCATCTTAATTAATATCACAGTATTAGTTTTCTAATTCCTTCCTGGAATTGGTGGAATAGGGAGCCCCGGAAGGGGTGGCAGAGAAGGGAGTTGAGGTAATGGTGGGAGATTGGGAAGCAGGGGACTTGGTTGTGGTGTTGTTGGGTCTTGAAGTGGAGGTGGAAATATGGGATAATTTGGTTCGCCAAATCCCAAGTTGTTTTGAGTGTTGAATTTCTTAGAATCTTGAACACTTGGTTTTTGGTTGCATAGATTTGGTTGTTTCAATGGCTTGAAAGTGAAAACCTAGCTGAGAAAATGCGAGTTCGTTACTTTCTTAACTTGAGATGGGGTGATGATGAAGTTGCTGTTGAGGCCACAGAACAATATGGCTCACTGCTAGTGATAAGTTTCACTGAACATCTCTTGATTTTCTTTACATGTTTGCTAACTGAGAAAGGCAAACGAACTATGAATTCTCCATGCATATTGGTTTTCACTTCTTACCGAAAACTTGACCTCCAACTCTCATCTTTACATTCCACCGCAACACATGCACCTGCAGAAACAAAATCCTAGAAAGCATATAATTTGAGCCTAAACAGATCAAAAACAAAAATGATAATAGCTCTGTTGATAGAATATTGAACTCTTAGTTTTAGTCCGATTCAAATCCTGGCAACTTCAACTATAAAAAATAAATAAATAAATACAAGGCCAGGAAAATTGGAAGTAAAACAGCTGACCTGAAATAAAGTTGTTGGCCTTGGAGAAATCCTCCTGGAAACAAGTGTCACAGTACACAGTTCCAACAACAACAGCAGAATGAAGCTTATGGCTATGGCTAGCCTCTAAGAGATCATTGATTGTTACACTGAGCAACAATATTAAGGAAAACCAAGACATTTTCATCCTTCTCATCTCTTCAAGTACCTCCTTTTTTAGATTCAATAACTCAGCAACTTTTATAGTCTAACCCATCAACTTTCTTTATGTCATTCATGCAAAAACCAGCAACTGCAAACTGGTAGCAGTGAATTCAGGTTTAATCTCTCCCTCCTCCAAACAGCTCAAAAGGAATGCATAAATTAAACAATTTGGGATAGGGTCGGATTTACTCCTGCTTGTTCACGAGCCACTTACAGCTGCAAAGGCAACGAAAAATAACAGGAAACTTTAATCATGAAAATGGTTTTTTTTTTTTTTTGCTGTGTTTATGTTCTTCACGTTTGAACCTGCTTTTTGCAAGCCAAGCACCGAGCAGAATGCAATAATCAGCCATGATTTTCCCATCGTTGTTCTAAGTGAGCCACAAAATAGTAGTATCACTCAAGGTTGATTAGAAGTTTTGAAATCTTGAGATATTCAAATTGACAATTATTTTTTCTACCAAAAAGATTTAGAATCATTTACGGATATCAAGTTTATTTATCATTAAAAAAAAAAGATACATGTTAAAGAGAACGCATTAGAACTATTATATTAATCTGTTACGTCTGACAAAACAAAAATGCTTGTGAATGTGACAAGCATACATTTGACTCAATAATAAGCACGCATATTTCCCATTTTTTAGAGGGTTCGATTTGAATTTCTTTTTTTTTTTAATGATAAAATATTATACTAACCCTTTCTTTTAAAGATACTAACCCTTTGTTTTATTCATTCAAAAAAGGTTTGATTTTATATAAAATAAAATCCATAGATGGATTATTTTAATAATTTTGTAATGAGATCCAGAACTTTTATAAGTTAGACATTCTGTAATATATCATTTATACATAAAAGTGTTAATTCTAAAAATATTAAAAGTGATCAACTAAAATACTTTAAATAAAATTTTAATTCTAAAAGTATTAAAAATAAGTTATTAAAATACCTTTAATAAAATTTTTAATAAATTTTAATTTATATAATTTTTTATTATTAACATTTTTATTATTAAATTCTTATTTATTAAAATTTTAATAAATTTTAATTTAAATGATTTTTTAACTATTAAATTTTTTTATTATTATCAAATTTTTCGTATAAAAAAATTGATTAATCATAGTTGAATTCTCATTTCTGACATGCTTAATTAATTAGTCGTCATTCAACAGCCTTTCTCTCATATTTTTGGTTTGATTTTCATAAGCAAACAATACACTGAAACAGTATAAACATCAATGCGTTATAAAACTTGGCACTGTTTTATTTTTTATAATTCCATTATAATTTTTAATTATATTTTAGAGTAATTGAACATGTACTTATGTTTTATTTTTTATTATTATTATTTTAATAATTTCGTTATTCGTTTTCATTCCATATTAAATTTGTTGGAATTCAAAAAAGTGAAAGTGTATCCTACAATTAAAATAGAGGTTTGATGAAAAATCTACCTTTAAACAGGTGCTTTTTCCTTATTTGTTCTTACTTTATAAATTTATTTTTATATATTGTTGAATTTATTTCTTTTAAACTTAAAAAAAAAAGTTAGCTAATTTCTTTATTAAATTGTATCACTTAACTTTAAGAGACTTTTTAATCATATGGTAATATGCTTTTAACTAATATAAACCATTGAGATCGTAATCGATTAATACTATTGATAGTAAATTTATTGTTTCTTTCAATACAGGTAAATATAATTATTTTATAATATTTAAAAGTATAAATTTTAAAAATATTAAAAGTGATTGATTTAAATATTTTAATGAATTTTTAAATTAATAAAATTATCTTTAAATATATATAACTTTTATTGATTAATTTAAGTTTAATTTAAATTAACTTGTTGGGTGCGTGCAAAGGCCGACACTGGTGCTGTGATTTTGGCTATGTGCGGGTAGAAGGTAACTAAGCTACAGTGCGAGCCAATGGTGATTGGGCTTCGATTTCACTGATGAACAAAAGAAGCCCCCTTTTCTTTTTTGCCATCCCCCTTTCTTTAAACAACCCAACTTTCCCCCTAAAGGTTTCTAGCCTTGGAATTTTTTTTTTAAGACTAGTTTGGTAGACGTGCAATAATGGCTGCCGGTTTTGGGACAATGAAGTTTACTAAACCTAGGGTATCAGACTCCTTTAATCAATTCATGTTAAGAGGAAAAATAGAGCTAAAAGTGAGGTAAAAAAAAAAAAGCTAGAAATGGAATTACCAGCAAAGAAAATGAAGCAAGACCCTCGAATGATTGACCAAGCCTTAGCTTCTTTTTTGTTATTTTTCCATTAATAATAAAAATAATTAAATTTAAAAATAAATAGATAAATAGAATTGGGCCTTAAAATTAAATGTTGAATTTTTAAATTTTAGGCTCTAAAATTTGATCTTGGACTTTGGGCTTTTAAGCCCATATGACTTAATCTCAAATCAACTCAAATTAAATTAGATTGGGCCTTGGCTCGTGTGAAAACGATCCACAAATAAGTAATTTGAATCAAAATTTGGACAAGTCCAATTTGAACACTTAAAACTGACTCAACTCAAAACATTTAAATTAAACTTAAAAATTGATGATCTCAAATTGTTTAGGACAAAATTAGGTGTATAATCAGTAATAGGGTAAAGATATTGATAACAATTTTGTCCGAAGTCAATGATTTGAGGGTTTTTTTTTTTTCAAAATTTTTTTGGATTTTTTAACCTTAGTTTTTTAATTATTATTTGTTTTTTTTTTTAATTTCTTGGATTTTTTTTATTTTTTTAATTCTTGAAAAACTCATATACATATATGCTTCACAACTTTTGAAAATAAATTTGAAAGATTCTCTTATCAAAGGTTTTACAACTTTTGAAAA